GTAGAAACTACCCTACTACCCGGACTATCTTGATACTTAGTTTCTAACTTTCCCTTAGCCTATCTACTAGTTTCCTAGTCTGCCTGTCCTCCGCCCTGCTTCTCCTCCTAAGTAGAAAAGATATGTCTTCCTATCGGTTCCCTATAAGCGAACGGATATCTGCTCGTAGGTACGCCTATAGGGGATATATAAGGATAAGGTGTTGAACTATCTTATCCGCTAGCCTATACTGGTACTTTACCGACTCCGCTCTCTTAATCTAAGTAAGGTAAGCCTATAAGTATATATAGTTTATCCTATACTAAGCGAGGGTACTAGCCTATTCCGCCCCTAGGCCTAGGTATAAGTAGGTTCCGTACTCCAATCCTAACTTCGTAACGGGATCGCATCGCAAGCGCTATCGCAACGTAACCGTCATCGCGACATCGCAATAAGACTACGAAAAATCACTATCTTCGGGTCGTCTAGACAGCTTGCGGTTTACAAAGGTATGCCATAACCAACTCTGTCGGTTGCTGCCAGGACCGGGGAACTCCTTCCAGTCCGACTCTCGCGGGAATGGCGACTCGTCGAAGCACAACCGTAGGGCAAAGCGACCGCATCGATAAGTTTGTCTGGCATCTGTGGTTTCCATCCCCAGCGCCTCCTCTGGTGCAGGAAAATGTCCTTCCTCGAGTGAGACATTGAGCTTGCGCGGCGAAAAGGCTGCGTCTATAAGGAGAGGTGCATTATGCTTTTCGCGATCCACGAACCATGGTTCCCAGGATGGTGCACAGCGTCGGGTGAGTTTAACTGTGAAAGAGAAGCGAGCGAGCGTGCGAGGTTCGGCGCCGGGTTCAGGGCCGGGGTGGAGGGTTATCTGCTGCGAAAGAATGTCCGAAGCGCCCCAGGTAAAGACAAGAGCAAGATACGGCCAGAATTGTCCGTAGAGAACAACCTACATGTGGTGTAAGCTTAAGTTGTAGAAAGAGAGGTGGTAGCTACGCACTTCACCTGTGCCATCAGGCGAGAATTGGATGTAGTCCGGGCCCACCCACTCTCCCCATGACCACTTCTCGCTGCAAAGGATAGAAAAAAGTGATTTTTCGTCATGTGTAGACATTTTAATTGTTTCGCCTTCCTTTGCAGGCATATTGATCTTGAGATTGATGTGTTCAAGTGAAGGGAATATCGCTATATAAGCGCGAAAGTGTTGTGGGGACGCAGCTAGGCAACATCCCCTGAAAAATCGCTCACTGCATCCGAGCTGAAAAGAAGCTTTTGGGGGCGAAAAAGGGTTGCTCACGCTATAATATTGTTAAACCAGTCGATGCTGTCTACTTAACCTGCAACTGCCGCTTGCTACGACATATCTCCAGTCGCTCTGCCCGCTGCTGTCGCCTGTAATCCCATATTCCTGCTGGACCTGCTGTTGTATTTTATTGCATTACCTGCTCTGTCTTCTGCTACCGCCGCTTACTTGAGCTGCTGCTGCTGCGATCGCTCTGCCTATAGTCGCACTCGCCAATACTGTAATACTTACCGCTGTTAATTTAGGCTGCCCCGCTGCAAACTCGCCTGGCGCGGATCAATTTGGCGGGACGTTAAGCGCAACACAAGACCCCTCTTGCCAAAAGTCAACCTTACTTACATGAAAGATCTTCGCCACAAGCTGCAGCACGTTTTAGAGTGCATACGGTATCAAACTGTCAAACCTAGTGCCCGGAGAAAAGTTGGGTTATTCGAGACTTCAACGTTTAATTTCATCTAGCGCACATCATGGATCACACTCACAGATATCGAGACCACCGCACGTACTCGTAAAGCTGGCGAAGATGGCTCTTTGGTATCGGGGAACTGGAGAAGTATGTCCTCGATACGTATTTCATTGGGGCGAAGCCATTCGCCCGGGTGAAGGTCCAGCCATATCCCTTTTCACCAGCAGCTTGTGGGAAACCCGTCGATCCCAACGGCAGACCTCTGCCATTCTAGTAGAATCCTTTCCAAGGTGGCTGATATTCTTGGCCGCTGTGCTGCGACGATGCTGCTTATTATAGATAGCTTGCAGAACATGTCAGAATCGCATGGCAAGCTGCGTTTGTTCCTTACCACGGCTCTAGTTGTCTGGCACACGCATTAGGAGCGACGAGTAAGCCGAGTATATAATGTATATTAGGTGATTGACATTCGAGCTCGTCAAACCAGAGCCGACGTCGGCAGCCCTGGCACGGCTTGTTGAGCCATAGAAATGGCGGGCTAACACCTGGGGACAGGGCTTCTCAGCATTACAATACTACTTCCAGTACTGACTTCAAACTGCGTAGCTAATGTGGCTTTCCGATTGCTCCTCCAAGAAAAGAAGCCATCTTGGTCAGGCAATCTTGAGAAGGATGCGACTACACTCTGGGAAACACAGGAAGGCTACGATCGCAATGGGAACCCTCGCTTCTCTCAAAGTCACTACGCTCTCGGTGCTTTCGGTATATAGCTTGTATTGGATTGTGTGGTTGAAACAGTGCGAGTAAAGAGAGAACGCGGCTTGTTTTTGAAAGAGTGACTGGCAGCGAGCTTTATATACACGAAGAGGCAGAGCAGTCATGTGCACGCTTGTAGAAAGTAGCAGGGGAGTAACAGGGTGTTGAAACAACGAAAAAGCAAAGTGAATATAGAGAATAATGTATGAAGAGACATGGTCTGACATGATTATGAATAGATATGACCTGATAGTCCAACAGCTTGAGGAATATTTGGTCAGTTTGTCTCCAGCAAAGCAAATGTTTCGGCAATAAAAGTTACTCCTGTAATAGGTAGAGACCTAACGTATGTTTCTGTCCCAGAGATACACCTTTTAGTATTGCAGAAATTCCAGAAGCTTGTACGAAACCACTGAATTCTTACACGTGTCTCTCTAGAATTCCTTTGAGGTAGCATACTTGCTCCTCAGCCGAACAACATGCCCCCAGCGGTACATGGCGTAGGGAAGCGGTACCATCACCGCCGATACACAACCGAGAATTGTACATGTGTAGGGAACACCTAATCGTTCGTAAATCGGTAGACCCGCCACGGTCATTCCTCCTGCCACTATGTATCTTATCAAAACAACGAATGTAAGTGCTGATGCAGAATACATTTCGTACGAGTCGATGATGTACATAGTTGTGCTGATGAAAATACCGACCGTTCCGTAACCGAAGAGAACAGAGCTGATTATAGGAGACCAGATGCTGATAGACGGGTTATCGGTCCAACCCATCCAGAAAAGTGAAATTGGAACAGCAGGAGCTGTTATCATGGCATACCAAAGACGAACTTCTGGATTGAAGCCATTGGAGCCTCCAGCTTTAACCGCTCGTGCTGTAAGGCGGTAAATAAAGGGTACCGCGAAGACTATCAACGATATCCCGATAAACATGGCAATAAAAATAAGGTTTGTAAGACCTTGCGATACGCCATATGTCTTCTGGAAAATAAACGGATATCCGTCAAGAAAGGTGAAAAGGACAATGTATACAACAGTAATGTATAGAGTCCATAGAATGATTATCGGTTCGGTGACCATGAGGAACGGGCGAGTAAGGGCAACTTTGAGTCGAGATGCCAGTGTGACATTGGAAAGCTCATGCCTTGAGCGATATCTGGAGTTGCCAGTATGTTTGCGCAGCTGTGCT